AATTTATGTCCACTAAAATGTAAGAAATCTATTGAATAAATTTCAAATTATTGCATTTTTTATAACAAAGTTGTAGAATTGCAAATGCAAATTTTTTAAAAAAATTACTTTTATCATATATATGGGGCAATTTTGTCAATTTTTTAAAAAATTTATGTCCACTAAAATGTAAGAAATCTATTGGATAAATTCAGAAAATGGCATGAAATCGAAATCTAGAAAGGAACTTACAGAAAACGGACAAAACTTGGAAAGGAACTTACGGAAAATGGACGAAATCTGGAGAGGAAGCAAGGGAATTTTTACCTGCTATGCTAGCAACGTAATTCTAGTCGGTAAATTCAATTTCCCACTTGCATCTTGTCGGCAAATTACAGTTGCCAACGTGATTCTAGTCGGTAAAGTAAGTTTCTATACCAATGTGAAGTTGTTGGTAATTTGGGTGCAAATTGCAAAGTTTTTTTGGTTTTTGGATTCCGGCTCTCGGTAACTTACCCATGTGATGTTTGTCGGTAAAATTAATACCGACTAAACACACATGGGTAAATTGGCTTATATATACTCTTAGCCCACCACTCTACCCGGCTTATTTCTTCTTATCTTCCTTCTTATTCTTCTTCTTCTTTTTTCTTCTCCTCCAGCTTGCCTTCTCTTTTTCTTCCATTCAATGCTGCTGGATTAATTGTTTATGTTTATAATTACATTATTCATGTAATTTTAGGTTTATATCTTTTCAATCTCCTCTCTTTTTCTCTTTCATTGTTTCTCCCTATTTGATTAAATACTAATTTGTGTTATTAATCAATTTATTTGCATTTTTAATTTTGTTTTCTAGGAAACATTAGGAGATAATCATTGGGGTAAGTAAATTTTCTTTGTGCAAATTAACATTCAATTTTATTTATATGTTGATTAGAGCTATTAGGGTTGAAATTAATTATAGATAAATACTAACCTAATTTATGTTTTATTATTTTCTTAGGAAATGGTGTTATGCAAATCTTCATCTATTGAGGTAATCTTTAATTAA